TGGTTACTGTGCAGCTCTCATTTGGGCCCTGGTACTGCACAGAGAGCCCCAGTTCTTGGTTACTGTGCAACTCTCATTTGGGCCCTGATACTGCACAGAGAGCCCCAGTTCTTGGTTTCTGTGCAGCTCTCATTTGGGCCCTGGTACTGCACAGAGAGCCCCAGTTCTTGGTTACTGTGCAACTCTCATTTGGGCCCTGATACTGCACAGAGAGCCCCAGTTCTTGGTTTCTGTGCAGCTCTCATTTGGGCCCTGGTACTGCACAGAGAGCCCCAGTTCTTGGTTACTGTGCAACTCTCATTTGGGCCCTGATACTGCACAGAGAGCCCCAGTTCTTGGTTTCTGTGCAGCTCTCATTTGGGCCCTGGTACTGCACAGAGAGCCCCAGTTCTTGGTTAATGTGCAGCTCTCATTTGGGCCCTGGTACTGCACAGAGAGCCCCAGTTCTGGGTTTCTGTGCAGCTCTGATAATGGGCCCTGCTGCTCCTGCACAGACGGTCCTAGTTTCTATGGGACACAGTGACAGTCATAAAGAAACACAAAGTGAAAGAGACTATCTCTCCCACCTTTGGATATGAACCCCACCCCAACATCCCCCCCAACCCCAACACACATGCCTGGGGAGCTCAGCCCTCTTTTAGCTCGTTCTGTTTGTCCAAAAATGGCAGCTCTCATCAGCCTGTGCCGTTCTCTTCTGAAAAGCTTCCGCTGAGGTAGTGTTTACTCTTCATAGTGCTTATGGCTCAGCTGAGGTGCATATCTCGATAAACAGGAATGTTGACACACGTTACATGGGGACTGAACGGCAGGTAGAGATAAACTAACCAAATAAGTGGTGCTTTTATCTGATTTCTGTTTTCATTGTCCTTAGCCACTTCAGGCATTTGCTCAGCCTTCTTGTGTCAGTATGCATACACTCTTCAGACAGGCTATGAGCCTCTGGAAGACTTAACCTTCTGCTCTCTTCCCTCTCTCCCCTTTTCCGGCCGACCTTTCCGATTTGCCCTCTGCTCTTTTCCCTCTCTTTCTTTTCCCTTTGCCTCTTTCCCCTTTGACCTCTGCCCTTTCTCCTTTGACCTGTGTTTGTCCCTGCCCCCCATCCTCTACTCAGTCCCACATCCAGTCCTTGTCTCTTCCCTCCCCCCCCCGGAAGAGTAGCAGGGTGTTTTTGGGAAAGGGACCCTGCTGCTCATGGTGTATGCTCTCACTGGGTTTGCAAACACGGCCCATCTGTCCCTCGTGCCTCATGGACGTTGTGGAGGAAATTGATTGAATGGCATGAAAAGGCCACGCCGGCTCGGGAATCGGGCCCCTCCCCAGGTGACAGCATCTGCGCGTTGGTGCCAGTGGTGGCCCAGCTCCTGTCTGTGTTATGCTGCCACGTTGGACTAATTGGACCAGACAGCTGTGCGATGGGTTTGGGCCAGTTAGACTGATTTAGGCCAGACACTGCAAATACACTGAGTGTGTGCACACACACACACACACACACACACACACTAGGTATCTACATCTCTGTGGGGACTCTCCATTCATTTCTATAGGAAAAATCCCAGCAATGACAACCTTAATTCCTACCCAGGCATAACCTTAACCATAAGTAACCAAACAAAATTGGCCTTTGGCATTTTTAGGTTTTTGGTTGCAGTCACAGATTTTTATTAAATTGAAGTTATCCTTGTGGGGACCAAAAAATGTCCCCACAATCTAAAGACTAGCAAGTTTTACCACATTTTGGGGGCATTTGGTCTCCACAAAGTGGTAAATACAACCCCCCCCCACACACACACACACACACACACACACGCGCGCGCCTCTGATTTCCCATCCTATCTGTGTCCAAATCAATACCCAATTCTCTTCTGTTTTTTTTAAACATATCTCTGGGGCCTCTTGTTTAACCAGTGCGACGCAGGGTCTGTGCTGTTTGTTTAACACCTAGCCTGTCTCACAAGTGGTTTGAACTCTACCCCCCCCAGCAGCCAGCCCCTCCGGGACTGTGTTTAGAGCAAACATTGTGACACACCTTGGCCCACGTGCCGGCGTGGGGGTGGCTGAGGCCATGGGAGCACTGGGAGCACTGGCAGGTGTCTCTCGGCTGCCGCATGTCTTGCTAAAACCGCCGCTGGCCACTCGCAGATCTTGCTTTTTAATCAGTAATGTGAGTATTTGTGTGACACATTTTGACCTCTAACCTGTCTGACATATACATTATGGGCCCGTGTTTTGGTTGTGCATACATAGTAACTCATTTGCACTGGGGTATACAAGCTAATCTGTCTGCGTTAGACCCCGTATGCTATTATGTCTGCGTTAGGCCCCGTATGCTATTGTGTCTGCGTTAGGCCCCGTATGCTATTGTGTCTGCGTTAGGCCCCGTATGCTATTGTGTCTGCGTTAGGCCCCGTATGCTATTGTGTCT